CTGCCAAGTGCGATCAGCCTCATCATCATCAATAGGGGTCTCCGCGTCACTACTAGCACCCCTACGAAGCCCCCTCCCCTCGGCTGCGTGTGGGTCAGGAGACAGACCCCCGATCTCTAGACCGCTACCGAGCCCACCTCCTCGCCAGTACTTCTTCGCCATGGCTGCTGAAGAGGCGGATGTCTCCCCCCGTTCCTCTGACCGCCCTCTGTTAGCTCTACCTCACTGTACAGTGGGGCTGAGCCCCACCACAGGCATGCGGATACTTCGCTGGTGAGGGAACAGCAAAGGACAGGGGCAGGTAGAGGACACGTGATTTCAGTGGGCTTGCTCCACGGGCCATGCCAACTAACGGTTGTGTCTGACGTACCCACCGACCGTTGGCTGTAGGTGTCAGAGGTTGCCTCGGGAAGAGGAAGACGACCTGAGTCAACCAATCGATGACGGCAGGGTTGTCCGGTGGGAGACACACCGCTCTGGAAATGACACCGGGAGCACTGGCCTCTGGCTGCGACTAGTGCTGCCATCGACCCCTTCCTCTTGCTGCCACGTCTGCGCGCTCCTGAAACATTGCCTCCTCTGCCACTCCTCTGCGGTGTTTGTCTGACATAACTCTTTAATTCAATAAGCACCCAAAAATAAAACCGGATTTAACTCTTTGAACGTACAATAAGTGGTTTGAAGCAGAAAGTCAGTTTATTTAGCACAATCGGTCAATTGCAGCTTGCCGTTGTCTGGTAAACTGTACGTTTAGTGTCACTGGAATGCACTAATCACCCAAAAAATATTACCGCAGACCACCCGCGGCTGTGTATATGGCTTTAACTCTGCTTGGAACGTTACAATAGTGGTTGAGAAGCAAAAGTCATTTATTAGCGCAATCGGTCAATTGGCAGCTTGCCGTTGGCTGGAAACTGTACGTTTATGTCACTGGAATGCACTAATCACCCCAAAAAATATTACCGCCACCCCGCGTGTAAATGGATCTAACTCTTTGAACGTACAATAGTGGATGTGAAGCAGAAAGGTCAGTTTTATTGTACACAAATCGGCGCTTGCAATTGCAGCTTGCCGTTGGCTAGGTAACTGTACGTTTTGTGTCACTGGTGAATGCACTAATCACCAAAAAATATTACCGCCAGCCGGCGTGTAAATGGATTTATACTCTTTGAACGTACAATAGTGGTTGTGAAGCAGAAAGTCAGTTTATTTAGCACAATCGTCAATTGCAGCTTGCCGTTTTTTTTTGGCTGGAAACCTGTACGTTTATGTCACTGGAATGCACTAATCACCCCCCAAAAAATATTACCGGCCACCCGCGAGTAAATGGATCTAACTCTTTGAACGTACAATAGTGGTTGTGAAGCAGAAAGTCAGTTTATTGTAGCACAATCGGTCAAATTGCAGCTTGCGTTGCTGGAAACTGTATGTTTGTATGTCACTGGAATGCACTAATCACCCAAAAAATATTACATGCCAGCCGGCGTTGTAAATGGATATTAACTCATGTCATTGAACGTACAATAGTGGTTGTGAAAGCAAGCAAAGTCAGTTTATTTTGCACAATCGGTCAATTGCAGGCTTGCCGTTGGCTGGAAACTGTACGTTTTATGTCACTGGAATGCCACTAATCACCCAAAAAAAAATATTACCGCCACCGGCGTGTAAAAATGGATTCTAACCTCTTTGAACGTACAATAAGTGGTTGTGAAGCAGAAAGTCAGTTTAATTGTACACAATCGGTCAATTACAGCTTGCCGTTGGCTGGAAACTGTACGTTTTGTGTCACTGGAATGCACTAATCACCCAAAAAATATCTACCGCCACCCGGCGTGTAAATGGATCTAACTCTTTGAACAGAAAGTCAGTACAATAGTGGTTGTGACTGGAATGCACTAAACCCCCCAGTCAGTTTATTGTACACAATCGGTAAATTGCAGCTTGCCGTTGGCTGGAAACTGTACGTTTGTGTCACTGGAAATGCACTAATCACCCAAAAAATATTACCGTCAGCCGGCGTGTGTAAATGGATTTAACTCTTTGAACGTACAATAGTGGTTGTGAAGCAGAAAGTCAGTTTATTTTGCACAATCGGTCAATTGCAGCTTGCCGTTGGCTGGAAACTGTAAACGTTTTATGTCACTGGAATGCACACTAATCACCCAAAAATATTACCGCCACCCGGCGTGTAAATGGATTTAACTCTTTGAACGTACAATAGTGGTTTGTGAAGCAGAAAGTCAGTTTAATGTGCACAAGCGGTCAATTGCAGCTTGCCGTTGGCTGGAAACTGTAACGTTTGTGTCACTGGAATGCACTAATCACCCAAAAAATATTACCGCCAGCCGGCGTCTAAATGGATTTAACTCTTTGAACGTACAATAGTGGTTGTGAAGCAGAAAGTCAGTTTATTTAGCACAATCGGTCAATTGCAGCTTGCCGCTGGCTGGAAACTGTACGTTTATGTCACTGGAATGCACTAATCACCCAAAAAATATTACCAGCGCCACCCGGCGTGTAAATGGATCTAACTCTTTGAACGTACAATAGTGGTTGTGAAGCAGAAAGTCAGTTTATTGTACACAATCGGTCAATTGCAGCTTGCCGTTTGGCTGGAAACTGTAACGTTTGTGTCACTGGAATGCACTAATCACCCAAAAAATATTACCGCCAGCCGGCGTCTAAATGGATTTAACTCTTTGAACGTACAATAAGTAACGATTCTGTGTCCCTGAGTAACGATTCTGTGTCCCTGAGTAACGATTCTGTGTCCCTGAGTAAACATTCTGTGTCCCTGAGTAACAATTCTGTGTCCCTGAGTAACGATTCTGTGGCCCTAAAGTCTCTGTGGCCCTAACTCTGTCCCTCAATACACAAGAGCTCTGTCTCTCTTGAATGACCGGAAAAGGCTAATGGAGAATTCGAAGATGGCCGCGATTTATAGCTCCACCATTTACACAGTGCTGGCTGGGCTGGCTGCTGATTGGCTAATGCGATCACATGTCATGATTCATGACTCATGAATGCATTATGGGTCAGCACGCCTTGTCTGCGTGCCTTCCCAGAGATCCCCGCCCCATCTTCTCTGTCCATTTTCTCCTGTCGCCACACATGTCGCCGCCATTTTTGTGGGAAAATTCGATTCGTGTTCATTCACCAGAGGTTAGATTAGTGAATGGATATTCATTGAGCTCTGCTCTACCTGCTAACACCCACTATGCGTGCCTTTAGCCACAGCAGGAGCAGGAGGCACTAACATCCACAGTGTGTGTGGAAGTGATTGGGCAGCTTTACAGCTGCCAGAATCACTTCCACCATAAAGCTGACAGTTGGCTTGAAAGTTGTACATAATAGTAGCCTAGAGCATGTTTAAAAACCCTTGCTACCAGCTGACATACATAATTAGCTCTGGTAGACTACGCAAAAAAAGCAGATTTTAACATGTGTGCCAAAAAGGAAATATGGTCTGGCAGCAAAAAGAGTAAATAAATTCACCATCACGTCCTTCTCTGTTGATTATTTACAGCTAGTGCAGAAATTAACTGCTTCAGTTCTGCCCCATAGCAGAAATACTGCTACAGGGTGGCAGCTGTGCGCAAAATCATGTATGTATATGTGATTTTGCACTTCCGGGTAGATGGGGCGCGCTAGGCATGTGTGCTCTACTCGCTCCATTGTTTTCAGCTGCAGCTGTCAATCACTGGGTCCCAGCCGGTGATTACATGCCGGTGCCTTGTCCTTTCTCTTCCTCTTCCATTGGTTCCTGCTGCTGTCAATCAGTTGCAGTGAGGAGGAAGTGGGTGTGGGGCTAATGCCAGCCATAGACGGGTCAAAAATCGTCCGATTTTCGTACTGTTAGTGGGTTAATTGGTCAGCCATTTTTCAGGTTTTTTTGCACAGTTTTTTTATTGGTCATGGTCATACATTCTACATTACTAATTATGCTACCAAAATGAGTGTGTTCTGTAAATTGCCTCCTTTATTGTCCCTATTTCTTCTTTCTGGCAACTGCCATTTTGTTGCAGTAAATCTTTGGCTGTCAGCAATGGCCTCTGAGCAACTGAGCATGTGCAGAGCAGGGTGACACAGTGTATTACTTGATTTTAAACAGTATAGGCACTTATTTTTAATGTTTTACATAGCTATACCTGCAAAAGGGGCCAGCCTGAAGTGTTTTAGCAGGACATAATTTTCTGACTAAAGTTCCAATTTATTGTTTTGGCTGACCTTCAGCTTTAAAGAAACACATACCTATTATGTTTAGGAAGGATTTTCATGATTAAGGTAAGAGGATACTCTTGTTAAAGGTCTATTTTATAGATATGGGCACAGTGGAAACATTTGTTTTGTTATGGTTTCATTCATTAAGGACCAGAGGCGGACTGACCATTTGGAAACTCCAGCACTGCCCGAGGGCCCGGGGTCAGCAGGGGGCCCCATGAGATGCCCCTGGTACCTTTTTCATAGGCTTTTTTGAGTTTGGGCAAGGACACAGGGGCCCCATGATCCCCTATTGGCCGGGGACCCCATGAGTTGTCAGTCCGCCCCTGTTAACTACTTGCTCTCCTGAGGTTTTACCCCCCTTCCTGACAAGGCCATTTTTTGTGTTACGGAGCTGCGTTATTTTAACTGACAATTGCGCGTCATGCAACGCTGCACCCAAATTACATTGACATCCTTTTTTCCCCACAAATAGGGCTTTTTTCAGTGGTATTTGATCGCCTGTGCGTTTTTAATTTTTTGCGCTCTAAAAAAAAAAGACCGACAATTTTGAGAAAAAAACAATATTTTTGACATTTTGCTATTAAACATGTCTAGTAAAAAATTTTACCAAATCAAATTTCATCATAAATTTAGGCCAAAATGTGACATGTCTTTACTAAAAAAATACAAAATAAAAAAAAAATAATACATGTAAATTAATTGGTTTACGTGACAGTTACAGTGTTTACAAATGGCAGTATATATACTGGGATTTTTTTTGTTCGTTTTTTTACTAGTAATGGCGGTGATCAGCGACTTATAGCGAGACTGCGGCGGACATTCTGACACTGGGGGGAACTGACTTGGTGTCACTGACATCCCCATTGACACCAATACAGTGATCAGTGCTAATCAAAAGCACTGACACTACTAATGACACTGGGCAGGAAGGGGTTAACATGTGGGGCGATCAAAGGGTTAACTGTGTGCTGTGTGCTTTCAACTGTAAGCACACTGCTTTGTATGGCTGTACTATGCAGAGCCATACAAAACAGTGTGCAGGAGCTGACAGGGGAGAGAACTGTATTGTTTACATACAGTTCTCTCCCTCCATCGGTACTGCTTCTCGATCACTGGACAGGACCCGGTGATTGACAACCGTGGCCGCAAATAGCGGCACGTGCGCCCCTTACCCAGAAATGCAAAATCACGTATGTATACGTGATTTTGAACACCCCTGCCGCCCTGTAGCAGTATATCTGCTATAGGGCGACAGGAAAGCGGCTAAGTATATAATTTTGTTTCATCATAATCTTTATGTTAGAATGATTTGTTCTTGGAACGATTCGTTATTTCAGGAGAGTATATATTTGTTGTACTAAATCTATTCATATTTTTGGAAGTTTTGTTTTCTTTTGTTATTTAGAAGATTGTCTAAATTAGTAACAAGATTCATTAGCATTTGTTATGCTATTAAGTTGAATTAATTTCTTCATTTCCAACTAATTGTATTTGTTGGTCTGTGCACATACTAATTAAATGAATGGTTTCTCAAATTCAACCCCAATACAAAAAGAATTGTATTAGAATATTCACGCTAGAATAAAAATTAATGAATCTGAATTGATGCAGATCATTTGTTATGTTCTTACAGTATATTAACATACAGTTATTTTTGATGCTTCAAACAAGAGGTCCAAGCTATCACATCATGTCATTCGAATGAAACAAATGAATACAAAATAATCTGTTACTTTATTATGCATTAGTTGAAATTCGATACTATGCTTAGTTGGAGACTCAGATACATCCGAAGCTGAGAATCGCACAAATTTCATGCGAATTTTGATTTATAATTAAACAAATTGCATATTTCTATTAGTTTATTATGGTTGTAGAATTGCTAGTGTATTCTAAACAATTGCAAAGAAAGTTGCAAAAACAGCTTTAGCCGTGCATCTTTTGAATTCAGTACCGAAATTCACCATCAGAAAGGAAGGATATAAATGTTTTCAGGAATATGACATTATACTGTACATACTGATTTGCCTTGATAGTAGATTTATTGCTGTAGAGGTTTTTTTTTAACTATCAAAAGTGAACTAATCCTTAATGGTGTATAATAACATTTTGAAATTTGACATAAACATTTTAGATTGAATTGCCTTTCTTTGTCACCTTTCTACAGAACTCTTGTGGTTTCAAGTTAAATGACTCTCTTCTCATGACAGATAAAGGACTAGTTTCAGAACCACTTAAATAGAGATGAAAGCTTTTATTTGCACTCCAGAAAAATAGACTCCTTTCATTCAAATTGTATGCTTTTTCAGCTGATGGAATTAATTAAAGCTGTATTAAACCCAATAGCAAACATTTATTATATTGATAAAACGTGTGTGCTTGTGAGCCACCAGAATATACAAATAAGTATATATACTGGATCGCTGGTTTACCTGCCCACTCTCCCTGGATGTGCTAATGACAACTGATCAAATAATAACCGCGCTCCAATATTGACTAAAAAGTGCTTAGTGCTTTTAATATATATACAAAATAATCTCCAATGCTGAGTAATTAGTACTATAAACTGTTAATCACTGTGCAATAATAATATATATGTGCCACTATTTCATCAGTGAACCAAGTGCTAATTCATATGAAAATATATAAAAAATGTAAATAAATAAATATAAAAATATATAAAAAATAACCAATATTAAATTATATTCAAAGTTCCAATTGCAAAAGTGCTCCAACCAAATCAGATGATACTCTCCTTTCCATGAGTGGTATGCTTCAATCTTGCAGCTTTGTCACAAATCCTGTATTTGTGCTTGCTGCAGAGCTGGGAGGTCTGGCAGTGAGATCTTATTGCTGGAATTCCCAGTAAACACACAAGTCGGTAGCTGAGTTTCTTTGGTGTTGGGTTCTTGAAGGAATCGTAAGAAAAGACAACATGGGACTGGAAAGAGCCTCCATGAGTTGACAGGATCTTTGCGAGGAGTATTCAGTGGTTGAAACAAGGAGTGGATCAAAGGAGGGGTTATCCCTCATAGGCACACAGGCTAATTACAAAGCTGCAAGATTGAAGCATACCACTCATGGAAAGGAGAGTATCATCTGATTTGGTTGGAACACTCTAGCACTTTTGCAATTGGAACTTTGAATATAATTTAATATTGATTATTTTTTATATATTTTTATATTTATTTATTTACATTTTTTATATATTTTCATATGAATTAGCACTTGGTTCACTGATGAAATAGTGGCACATATATATATTATTATTGCACAGTGATTAACAGTTTATAGTACTAATTACTCAGCATTGGAGTTGATTTATTATATTGAACCTACCAATTTTCAGATGTGATGGATGTAACAGTTTTCTTCTTTTTTTCTATTTAAATCTAGTGTTCAAGCCAGCAAGTCTTTTGTTTTGCAAAAGAACAAGCAGAATGTATCAGTTTACAGGGATGAGACAGACCATTTTACCACTGACAGGACTGACTGAAATGATCAGCTTTTATTTATTCATGTAAAACCCTTAACCCAAAATGAAAAAAAAAACAGTTTGCTGTAACTGATTATTAAGTGTGAACTGTAGTTTGACTTCAATTTGTTAGTGTATTTAAATCAGTTTATGCATTTAATACTCCTCTCCCCCCCAAACTGACAATGCTGTGTCTGCTGTGCTCACTCATCCAGAGTTGGTCCCACTAATGCAGGAAATGTGTTACTGGTCAGATCACCAGGTGTAAAGAGAACAGAAAACTGGTGCATGTACCACATTTCATGATCAGTAAGCTGCAATATAATCCATTTTTGGCTTATTTTTGGCCTAGGCCAGTGGTCAGCAAGCCACGGCTCGCGAGCCACATGCGGCTCTTTACACATTTTAATGCGGCTCTTCTGTGTGCCGGGCGTCCGCTCCCCCTCCCTCCTCTCGGGCAGCCGCCCCAAAAGCCAGTACTCTGCAGCTAGCCCAGCAATGGGCAAACTACGGCCCGGCGGACCTTTTAATCCGGCCCGCGGAGCGTGGCAAACATTGGCTGTCAGGATGTAGGCGGGGCAGCCAGGATGTAGGCGGGGCAGCGTGACGAACTCCTCTCCTCTCACAGTCCGCCCAGAAGACCGGAACGGCGCGGGAACACGGCAAGAGGAACGCGCGGAGCAAAGCTAAGTGAATTGACACAATATGGGGAATGAATTACTATAGGGGGGATGAATTACTATATGGGGGGATGAATTACTATGGGGGATGAATTACTATATGGGGGATGAATTACTATAGGGGGGATGAATTACTATATGGGGGATGAATTACTATGAGGGATGAATTACTATGGGGGATGAATTACTATATGGGGGATGAATTACTATGGGGGATGAATTACTATATGGGGGATGAATTACTATGGGGGATGAATTACTATATGGGGGATTAATTACTACGGGGGGTGAATTACTATATGGGGGATGAATTACTATGGGGGATGAATTACTATATGGGGGATGAATTACTATATGAGGGATTAATTACTATGGGGATGAATTACTATATGGGGGATGAATTACTATGGGGGATGAATTACTATATGGGGGATGAATTACTATGGGGGTATGAATTACTATATGGGGGATGAATTACTATGGGGAATGAATTACTATAGGGGGGATGAATTACTATAGGGGGGTTGAATTACTATATGGGGATGAATTACTATGGGGGATGAATTACTATATGGGGGATTAATTACTATGGGGGATGAATTACTATATGGGGGATGAATTACTATGGGGGATGAATTACTATATGGGGGATTAACCTCCCTGGCGGTATGATTATTTCAGATTTTTGGTGCTGAAAGCGGTACCATTTTTTTGCATGGAAATATGTATTTTTTTTATTGTAGGCTGTAATTTTTAGGAAAAACTCACTGAAATCTGTCCGAACAAGAGTCTAGTAAACATCCCGGGTATGATAAAATTTGAAACACAAAATCATAAATTATAATTTAATAAATAATCATAAAAATAATATAAAAATAATAAAAAATTTAATTCAATAATATAATCAAACCAAAAACACTGAAATGTGAAATAGAGCGCCAAGTTCGCACATTGCTGAGCTCAGTCGCAAAATCGTTTTCAGTTTCTGATGACGAATTTCCCGCACGAATTATTATCACTCAATTCTGTAAGTAGTTCTGATTTACTATCGCTGTTCTCTAGCTGATCTAAACCGCTTTTGACCTAAAGGGACGCTTTTTGGACGCCATGGACATTTCTCAGTTTCCAGGCAGAAAGAACAGACAAAATGCAGGCAGGGCGCAGGACAAAGCACTAGGGACAATATGTATGTGAAATAGGTTGAAACAGCAATGTTTTACTGTGTAAAATGAAAAAAAAAAAAAAAATGACATTTTTTAAAATTTTTAAATTTCCCGCCGCCGGCGGCGGCGGCGCCCGTACGTCCCGACGTCACAGGGACAGGACACAGAAGCCGGATGCCGGCATCGGCCGGAGGAGATGGCCGAGGACGCTGCAGGGGACACATCGTGGGAGCGCAGGGTAAGGTAAGTGAAGAACACATGCCGGAGCAGCGCCGCATGGTATTCCCGAGTGTAGCTCGGGGTTACCGCTTTTGGTACTGAAATGTTACCCCGAGCTACACTCGGGAATACCGCCAAGGAGGTTAATTACTATGGGGGATGAATTACTATGGGGGATGAATTACTATATGGGGGATGAATTACTATGGGGGATGAATTACTATATAGGGGATGAGTTACTATGGGGGATGAATTACTATATGGGGGATGAATTACTATGGGGGATGAATTACTATATGGGGGATGCATTACTATATGGGGGATGCATTACTATGGGGGTGATGAATTACTATATGGGGGATGCATTACTATGGGGGATGAATTACTATATGGGGGATGAATTACTATGGGGGATGAATTACTATGGGGGATGAATTACTATATGGGGGATGTATTTTCAGTTTTAAAAAATGTGGCTCTCAAAATAAATTTCAATCGTGGTTTTGGCGAGATTTGGCTCAGTTTGAAAAAAAAGGTTGCCCACCACTGGCCTAGGCGATCGGACTGGAAGTGGGAGCGGGTACCTGTCAAATTCGGGTACCTGCTCCACCCCCCAAAGGTGCCAATCCTTAATGGGGAGCGGGGGGAGCAGTGCTTAAAGCGGAACTTCCCCTTGATTGGTTTTGTTGATTATGTTGCAATACAATACACTTTTTCATCTCTTGATAAAGACTTTTGGAAAGGTCTCTGTTTATACAAGTATAAGAAGCTAAGTTGCAGTTTGGGGTTTGTTGTTATTACAAGTATGGGACTCAGAGCTGCATAACAACAAGCTACAAATATCCGAATATCATTGATTTCAGCATCCACTTTAGGTAATGTTATAGTATAGATCCATAAAGAGTTATCTAATCCAAAAAGCACAACATAAAGGGCTACTAATAAAAATACAGTTCTTGAGGCTTTGTCCTTAGCTGATCTTCTTTGGGGTTTGTTCAAACTCTTCATTTTTCTCATACTTTTTTCATGGTTAAACAAAGTAAGTACAATATAGCTGCTTGCCACAATCATTATGGTCACAAAAATTAAATCTCGAAAAGTGTAAAAAACTCCATTGGTAACATAAGACATCTGATTTAAGAATTCTGCATCACAATATATCACATGAAGGGCATATGCTGCTGATGTGTTTTTCCTGGCATGGGCATTTATAATAAAGACAGGATAGGTTGACATATCCATAATCCAAAAGACTAAAATGATAATACCTGGATTTTGTGCCACTTTTTGTTTGAGGTACACCCAAATCCCTGTCATTGGAGCTATAAGAATACATTGGTGGCAGCTTAGTAAGCTCGTAACACCTATAGACATTGCCCTATTAACTCTATAGGTATATAGGACAAGTTTGCACTCTGTATCATCAAGCAAGTTCTCAACAGCAAGAGCATCCATTGTCTGTGGAATAACACGTGATATGATAATAAGAAGGTTATTAAAGGATAGCACTGTCAATATTTTATTATTTGATAATAATTTTCTTTCCTTTATTCTAAAATAAGTAAATTGCAGTAAAATAAATGCATTTCCTGGGATGCCTATTATCATCAAAAGCATAAATGCAGCAGCTTTGAGTATTTGGTTGGGGTCCATGGAAATATGTATCTGCAAAGATAAAGTTAGTTATTTTAGATGTCTACATTAAAATAACAATAATATAAAAAAAGACATATCACATTTAAATGAAAACTAATACATGCTGTAGATTTGCTGTATTTAATTACTCTTTTGTGATCATAAGAATGTTACTAGACAGTAGGGCTGAGGGAAATTAAGAGCTTCCTTTTTCAGTAGAAACCTTTTCAGGTCACATTTCAGAAAAATGTCACCATGTGTAAGGTAAAGTCTACGGGCTTGGAAAAATCCGTATGTAAATGGATATAAAACTGGCTAACAGATCGTATTCAGAGAGTAGTGGTTAATAATTCATACTCTGAATGGTTTGGGGTCATCAGTGGTGTACCCCAAGGTTCAGTGTTGGGACCCTTACTTTTTAATATATTTATAAACGATATAGTGTCTGAGATTAAAAATCCCATTTCAGTCTTTGCAGATGACACCAAGCTGTGCAGTGGAATAACGTTCTTACAGGATGTCTTCAACTTACAAGCCGACCTCAATGCACTGTTTAATTGGGCAACTATGTGGCAAATGAGGTTTAATGTTGATAAATGTAAGGTTATGCACTTTGGGGCTAAGAATATGCATGTATCATACATACAACTGGAGTACAACTGGGGGAATCAATGGTGGAGAAGGATCTGGGAGTTCTGGTAGATCACAGGCTTAATAATGGCATGCAATGCTAAGCTGCGGTTTCTAAAGCGAGCAAAATCCTCTCTTATATTAAAAGAGGTATAGACTCCAGAGAGAGAGATATCATATTACTCCTGTACAAATCATTAGTAATACCTCATCTGGAATATGCAGTTCCGTTTTGGGCACCAATTCACAAAAAGAACATTGGGGAACAGGAGAAAGTACAGAGAAGGGCAACTAAACTGATAAGAGGCATGGAGGAGATCAGCTATGAGGAAAGATTAGAGGAACTGAATGTATTCTCTCTTGAGAAGAGGAGATAAGGGGGGATATGAGCAACATGTATAAATACATCAGTGGTTCATATAGTGAACTCGGTGTAGAGCTATTCACCCTGAGGTCATCACCCTGAGGACAAGGGGGCACTCTTTACGTCTGGAGGAAAAGAAATTAATCTCCAAACATGGAAAGGTTTTTTTCACAGTGAGAGCTGTGAAAATGTGGAATAGACTCCCTCAAAAGGTGGTTCTGGCCAGCTCAGTGGATTGCTTCAAAAAAGGCTGGATTGTTTCTTAGATACACAGAATATAACTGGATACTAACATTTATAGGTAAAGTTGATCCATGGAATATCCGATTGCTTTTCGGGGGATCAGAAAGGATTTTTTTTTTCCCAGCAGGTGAGAATTGGATCATGCTTTGCTGGGGGTTTTTTTTTGCCTTCCTCTGGATCAACTGTGGGTATAGAATTATAACTTTTTTTTTTCTATGGTTGAACTGGATGGACTTTTGTCTTTTTTCAGCCGGACTAACTATGTAACCATACAGTAAAATGCATTAGAGCTCAGTCTATTAAGAAGGAGAAATTAAAGTGGTTGTCAAGGCTCAAGGTTTTTTTTACCTTGCAAACATTCTATGCATGAAGGTAATCAACCTTCTGTGTGCAGCAGCCCCCTAATACTTACCTGAGCCCCCTCTGAATCCAGTGATATGCACAAAAGCAGCAGCTCTCCCAGGACTCTCCATCCTCAGTGACTGAGACAGCAGCAGGAGCCATTGGCTCCAGCCACTGTCAATCGCAGCCAGTGAACCAATGAGTAGAGAGTAGGGGTGAGACAAGCTGTGCTCTGTTTGTGAATGGACACACAGAGAAGCGGCTCAGGAGTGAACCTGCTTGGGTGCCCCCATAGCAAGCTGCTTGCTATGGGGGCACTCGACAGGAAGGAGGGGTCAGGAGCATAGTTGGAGGACCTGAGAAGAGGAGGAACGCGGAGGAGTGCAAAACCACTTCACAGATTAGAAAAATATGACATTTTTTTTTTTTTTTTTTAAATTTCCTTTAATGTCACTGTAAAGCAGATTCTCCACCATTGAATATTTAACCTCCCTGGAGGTATTCCCGAGTGTAGCTCGGGGTAAAGTTTCAGCACCAAAAGCGGTAACCCCGAGCTACAGTCAGTAATACCCTGCAGCATTGCTCCGGGATCCCTTCTGCACTTACCTTGTCCTTTGCTCCAGCGATGCCCCCCCCTGCAGTGTCCCCGGCCATCTCCTCCAGCCGTTGCCGGCATCCATCTTCCGGATTCCGTTCCCTGCGATGTCGGGACTTACGGGGACGGAACCGGCAGGAAATTTAAAAATTTTAAAAGTGTCATTCACTCAATACACTAATATCACATAGTAAAACATTACTGTATCAAACCATTTCACATACATTTTGTCCCTAGTGCTTTGTCCTGTGCCCTGCCTGCATTTTTACTGTTCTTTCTGCCTGGAAACTGAGAAATGTCCATGACATCCAAAAAGCATCCCTTTAGGTCAAAAGCGGTTTTAGACCAGCTAGAGAACAGCGATAGTAAATTAGAACCACTTACAGAATTGAGTGATAATGATTTGTGGGGAAATTCATCATCAGACACTGAAAACGATTTTGTGACTAAGATCAGTGATGTGCGAACTTGGCACTCTATTTCAAATTTCAGTGTTTTTGGTTTGATTATATTATTTTACTAAATTTAAATATTATGATATTATTATTTTTTATGATTATTTATTAAATTATAATTTATAATTTTGTGTTTCAAATTTTAACATACCCGGGATGTTTACTAGACTCTTGTCTGGACAGAGTTCAGTGAGTTATTCCTAAAAATTACAGGCCAACAATAAAAAACGACATATTTCCATGCAAAAAAAGTACTGCTTTGAGCACAGAAATACTGACATAATCAGACCACTAGGGAGGTTAAGCACCTATTTTAATCTCCCCACCTCCATAACATAAAACTCTGACCTTTTTCCTTTTTATGTTCTCCCCCCCTTCCTTAATTATTGTCTAGACAAGAATGGTATATAAACCCCCTCCTGGTATATCCATATTACAGTTCCAGGAGCTATCAGTGGCTTGGTTGGATATGGAGCTGAATCAACAGAGGGCTAGTTATAAAAATTAGGCAGAGACAGCCAACACCCAATGGTGTCAAAAAGAGAGAAAGTGGCATGGCACTGACTGCGCAGCGGAGTGGTGGAATGATGCTGGATTTACTGGGCATGTAAGTGTGTTTATTAATGCAGAACTTTACCCTTAACAACTTGATAAAAAAATAATGTTTTTAGTAAAAAAACATACATTCCACAATAATAATTATGCTACCAAAATTAACAGAATTTCCTGCAGCATTGCTCTTGTTTCTTCTTGCTGGAGGCTGCCATTTTACTGAAGCCCAGAGCCCGTGAACATCAGTAAATCATAAAGCGGAAATAAACCCATCGATTTACAGTTACATTCCTGATACTCTGAGATTGCTAACTGTAACATTTGCTTGTGCTGTCAACCAAAATGTCAAACTATGAAATCGCTGGAGTGAAAACTGATCACATGTGCAGCACCATGGCTGTTGCAGATCAAGCAAAAGCAGCTTCCTTGGCTGTAAAGGATAGGAGAGTTTTAATTCTGCTTTAAAGCTGTCAGCAGATCATCCTTTAGAAATTCATCAGCGCCTAAAAATGCCAAAAAGCGGAGAGCAACTGAGCATGTGCAGTGCAGGATGTGACAGTGTATTACTGGATTGTAAACACAACAGTCACTTATTTTTTAATTAAGTGTTCTTGCATGGCAAGACCACTTACTCTTATCTCACATATATATTCTTATTATTATAGCCAAATTTACCACCCTAACTCCTCCCACAGTTTATACTACATAGACAGTAATATACCAAAACGTTCGGATTGTTCCCTATTGGTGTGCTATTACTTTGTGGAACGTTTTGCCAAATGGTTCACAAAATACCGGCATTTTTGTGGTGAAATTGGTCCCATAGGAATGAATGGCGGAATGTTCAAAACTAAAGTGGGAGCTGACAAAAGCTAGAGTGTGAGCTGAAAAATCAGGACATGATTTGTAAACTGCCATCACCCCCTCATTTTCAAGCCCACCTACACAAATCTTATATCAAAACGTTCAGCTATCCCTGCTGCCACTAAAAATGTCCACGGCTAAGCCATAGTCCTGATAGTTTTCACAATATGACCATTTGTTTGCAACTCACGCCGCCCATTGACATTCATTGAAACTCCACTCTAGCCACCTCAGATTTGAAGGGCAATTTCTAAACTGTGACTCTGCCTTCATTTTTAATATTTCAGAGACATACTATGCATCTAAATGTAGGTCTGGGTCTTGTGATTCTCACAATATAAAGCTCTTTGCTGTAGGATTTATAATTTTTAAACTATAACCGTTTGATGTGCTATATAAATAATTAAAAGTTGAAATGCATTTCTCACTCTATCAAGCTTGCCATGTGCACTTTTTAAATTTGATCAATCAATTGGTTAGTGTAATGTTTACTATCTTTACTCACTCCAAACACTCCACACAGTTACTCTACCCACTCCATAAAGTTACTCTGCCCAGTTCAACCTTTTCACAGTTACTCCAGCCACTCCAACCACACAACAGTTACTCAAGCCACTCCACCCAGTTAGTCCGCCCACTCCAGTTGTAGACTACTGGTGGAGGCAAGAACACTTCACACAATTTCCCCAGAAATTGTAGCTTTTCTAGTGTATTACATACTGTAGATATGCCTGCAAAAGGGGAAAGCCTGAAGTGATTTAGCAGGACTTAATTTTCTGACTTAAGTTCCACTTTAAGCAATACACATCAAAAATGTTAAAAGGGAATAAAAAAAATTGTCAAGGAGCACAAAAACTTACATGTAAATATGAAACATTTGTGATTCATTTTTGTTACAAATCGAAATTTGATTCGTAGATTCGGATGTATCAAAATCTCTAAATCAAAATAGTAATAATTTCAACTAATCTGAATTAAATGAACACATTTGTATTCATTCATTTAATTCAGGTGACATGATGCTTGGACCTTTTGTTAATGTTTGAAGCATCCAAAATAATGTAATGTTGAATGTCCCAAATTGATTTGGATCCATTAATTTTTATTCTAGTGAGCATAGTGTGAATATTCTAAGATTCTTAGTGTATTGGGGTTGAACTTGAGAGATTGGTCATTTAATTTGTATGTGCGTGGCCCAACAAACAAAGTCAGTTGGGACTGAGGAAATTAATTAAAGTTAAAGTGGTTGTAAAGGCTCAAGGTTTTTTACCTTCATGCATTCTATGCATGAAGGTAAAAAACCTTCTGTGTGCCACAGCCCCCCCCCTCCGCCCCCCCCCCCTAACACTTAACTGAGCCTGATCTCGGTCCAGGAGAGCCTCAGCTCTCTGGGGACTCTCACTCCTGATTGATTGAGGCAGTAGCGGGAGTCATTGGCTTCCACTGCTGTCGATCACAGCCAGTGAAACAATCGGGAGAGAGGGGGTGGGGGTGTGTGAATGGACATGCAGAGCCGCAGCTTGGGAGCGGGACTGCTTGGGTGCCCCTATAGCAAGCTACTTGCGATGGGAGCACTCGGCAGGAGGGAGGGGCCAGGAGTGCCAGCGGGGGACCAAAGAAGAGTAGGATTGGGGCTACTCTGTGCAAAACCACTAACATATTTGTTATTTAAAAAAAAAACCTTTAATATCACTTTAATAACATAACAAATTAGAACGTAATAATTATGTTAAAAATAATACAGCTAATCTTCTGAAGTAACAAAAGAATAACAGAACTTCCAAAAATACAAATCAATTCTAAACAACGATTATGTACTCTCCCAAAATAACAAATCGTTCTGAAAAGGAATCATTCCAACATAACGAATATGACAAAAAGAAAAGATTTACTTAACAAATGAAACCAAAATGAAACAAAACAAATTTCCGTCATGAAAATCTCTAGTAAATACTGTATATTCCTCAACAGGCACAACAGAATATAAATCCATTTTGTGTGCTTCAAATGCCTTTGCAGACCCTAATATTATCTCTTCAAAGTAGTAGCAGTGACTGGCCTTCATTAGGGATGAGCCAAACATATAATATACTACAGGAGAAGTTCCATTTACAAATAAAACAATGGCATTTAAATTGCCTGTAAATGGCATTTACCTGTCAGCTTAGTTTACTTTCTAGAAAACAGCATAGGGCCTCCCTAAATACATACCAGGCTCCTGAAAAATCTGGTAGGAATTTTAAGGGACATTTGGGGGGTTCCCATACATTTTTTTTCAATGTTTCAATATTTCAGTGGCAAATACTTTTTTTCTTGCTAAAATGCCACTTTTGCTGTAGTACAAAAAATAGTTAGAGGTTCCCTTCCCTATGCATGTGGTGATGCCCTACCAAAATGCATACCAAATGCTCCTCTGAGCATGCAGCCTGTCTGGCGAGGAAAGGAGAATTACAATCATGCAGCCCACCCCCCAAACCATGTCCTCAACATACATGGGGAGCTTACCTTGTCAGTGAGAAGCATGATGATGAGGACAAGAGCCTCCTCCCCACAACCCTGGCCCAGTGGCTGTGGACATCATTTGTGGTCAGGAGGCTTATCAGAATTTGGATGTACCCTTTAAAAATAAGGGGGCCCCCAGATACAGCCCACGTGTGAATAAATAAAGGTTACTCATTCACAAAAAAAGTAAACAGTAAATAAATACATTACACACAAGCTCTTTAATAAAAAATAAAAAATGTCCCACAATATAAATTAAGCATCAAACATGTCCAGCAATGAACATTTTTCTTAATCCCGATGAACGATGTCCACTGAACCACCTAAGGAAATAAAACACTGACCGTCGTGACGATATCATTGACCAAATATGGCCATGACTGTTGGCCAAATATAACCATGAGCATATTTGGTCAGTGATGTCAGCTACCATACCCATACCATGCAGTGTAATGTACTTCCATGCATTGTGGTATTCTGCATTACTACACCATTTTTTGTGCATTTTGCTGCATTAGGCAGCCCATTCAAATAAGTGCATGTTAACATGTGACATTGCACACATGCATTTTAACACACTGCACTGATGTAAATGTGTCCTTAACATTTTAAGGTTTTCTAAAATG